GAATCAAAGAGGGTAAAATAGAAGTTACAGTGCTACCCACAACAATGAATAGCAATGAAGAGGCACAGGAACTAGATCCAAATCAGGAGAAGGAGTTAACATTAAAGAGCACAGTAATAAATGCCTGTTTAGATGAATTAGTAACAATGAGGATGAAGAAATGGAGAAAAGACAAGAAACTACTTAAGAGCAGATCGATGATGGTTTCACAACAGTAGTGAATAAAAAGAAAAAGAAAAAAGAAGAAAAAGATAAAGGAGTATTGAATAATGCTAATAGACACATACCGTACAAGAAGGCAAAAAGAAGTGGAGCAGGTCAAGCCCCTGATAAAGCACAACAAAATTAATGAGCTGCACTTTAAAGATAGCCACATTGAACGTGAAAGGCCTAAGCAGCAGGTATAAGTATCAAAAGACATTAGTATTATTTAAATCATATCACTTAAACATAATAATGATACAGGAAACTAATTTTAATGATGAAAAGCTAAGAAATTTTATAGCATAGCAGTGGGGTCATGATTCGTACTGGTCTACAAAAGTGGCCATTCTGGCTGAAAAAAAAGAAATTTCATTCAAAAATATTAAAGAAGCCCAGGATGGCAAAATAATCACGGTTTACTTTAAATTCAAGCATAGGTTATTTAAAATTTCGAATATATACGTACTTCCAAATATAGCAAAGAAAACTGTCTTTTTGAACAACTGGGTCCCAGTAATAGATAAGGAGGCCATCAATATAATCGCGAGTGATTTTAATATTAATCTTAATCCGATAATTAGTCAAGCAAAGACGCATAGTGACTTTACAAGAAAAAAGTTAAAAGAGTGCATAGATAGTTTTATGGATACGGCAGAACTAGCAACGAACAAACCTTTTATAACCTTTTTTAAGACAACACGTGAAGGATACATGATGGCAACTAGATTAGACTATATTTTTGTTGAAGACAACTACTTTCAATTTTGCCAAAATATTAGGATGCAATATGGAAATTCAGATCATAAATTGGTAGAGTGCTCACATCGTCAGCTAGTAGATCAGCCTATTGGAGATTAGATAAGAAATGCTGGGGTGTAAAAAGATGTGATAGAGAATTACAAAGCTTTTAAAATAGAGAAAATTGGAACTATCTAAAGTGTTGTTTTAAATCTATTATTCATGCATATAAACCTCCAGCCACGCCAAAAAATCAAATTCAAAAGCTGAACAAAAGCATATCAAAATTAAAGCTTAAAATAGCTGCAAATCTGGATCAAGAAGATCTAAGTATGGTGATAGAGCAAAAATCTTTTCAATTGCAAGATGAACTGGACGCGTTAGCGAATAAATGGCAAATAAAATCTAATGTGCAATGGATCAAAAAAGGAGAGTGATCGATGAAATACTTTTTCTCTCACTATAAAATCAAGCACCCAATTAATGCTACCTCCAAAATACATATTCCAGAAGATCCCAATGAAACAGAACCAACAGAGATTCTACAGTATATTAAGAGTTATATACGAAGAAGAGGATTTTAATCAGGAAGCTGCAGAGAAGTTGACTGATGATCTGCCACAAGTGTCTGAAGAACAGAATTCTTTGTTGCTTAAGAGAATTACAGAAGAGAAAATTAAAACCGTAATAAATAGTTTACCAAACAACAAAGCTTTAGATTCAAATAGCTTTACTTACGAATTTTATAAAGACATTGTGGATGAAATTGTGCTAATTCTTGAATCACTCTTTAATGAAATCTTGAACAAAGGAGTGGTACCCAGGTCATGGACAAAAAATATAGTAATGCTCATATCTAAAAAAACAGATAAGTTAGAAGACATAGGTAACTGGCGCCCCATCTCGCTTACCAATACCAACTAGAAAATTTTTATGAAGATTATGGCAATAAGGATGAATGAAATATGTCAAAATGTGGTAGGCAGTCACTAGCAGGGGTTTATTGCTGGCAGATATATAGCAGACGTAGCCATAGATATTATATCCACAATAAGAAGTCAAGAAGACCAAACGAAGCAGCATTAGTTGTTATTTATTGATCAACAGAAGGCATTCGATAAAGTTAACCACCACTTTATAGAGATCATATTAAGAAAGATGAATTTTGACTCAAAATTCGTTAAAATAATAAAAACGCTGTTTGCAGAACAAACAGCACATATCACTGACACAGGGCTTTTATCTGAATCCTTCAGAATTAGCAAAGGAGTCAGCCAAGGAAATCTCTTATCACTGTTATTATACATTATCACGTTTGAGATATTTTTAAGGGCACTAAATCAAAATTTACAGGGATACAAGTAAGGGGACACTTGTTTAAAATGGCAGCTTACGCTGATGACTTAACTGTAGGGTTGGGTTCATATGCAGACTGGGTTATATTTACTGAATTAGTTGGAAAATACGAAGATACATCAAATTCAAAAATAAATTGTCAAAAATTAGTAATAGTACCTATCACATGCAATGTGGAAAGAACAGATTTAGAAGGAGGAGAACGTTTCAAATGGTTAAAAGAAAATGAAAACATTACAGTATTAGGGTACACCATTAATAGCAAAGGCAAATTGATAAAAATACATGACCGAGAATGATCTGAAAAATAGAGGAACTATTGGAAAAAATAGCATCACGAAACCTTTCTTTAAGTGGAAGAATACTAATAGCTAAATCTCTCATGCTTTCACGTATATGATACATGGCGTATATATTACCACCGAATAGAAAACAAATTCAAGTGCTTAATAAGATAATGGTTAACTGGATCAAGGGTAAGACAAAAATGTTACCGAGATTTTCAATTTTCCAACAAGAGTACAGCCTGGGTGGCTTAAGAACTCCGGTGGTCGAATACATGCTAGAAGCAAGATTAATGACTATGTGGATAAAGTTGCTTACTGCAGACAATTTATGGGCAAAAGTAGAACGATCATTAATTTCTAATAATATACGTGACAAATGTAATGTGAGCGTCAAAGACGCGTTAAACAGCACTTCAATAAATCTGAAAGGGTGGCCAGAGAGCTGGAAAATATATGTTAAAGCTTGGAAGAAGTTAGAAGGAAGGGTGTGCACAAATACAGAAGCATGGCCATGGTCACTGGCGGACATAAGCCTTGCACAATTAAAAGAAGAAGAATATTCAGTAAAAAAAGCCACAAAATTTTTAAGAGGAAAATTTCTGAAACTGACAGTGAATCAAAGAGATAACACTGCATCAAGAAATTTATGAGAACAATCT